TATACAAGCAATATTCATGCAAGTTTTATTAATGAGAAAAGTATTTATAATGTGCAGAACAATACAGAAGTTAAGTATTAAAAACTTTTCCATAACATTTAAGAAATAATATCTGATTTATTTATATGATCCATTTTTATTTAAAGTGACAAACCATCTCATTAGTTTAAAACTGATCGCTTACTATTTCATGAGATGTTTTTAATTTTTGACAGCATTTTTTAAAAGTTGTAGTTAAATTTTTCAATTTCCCTATTCTAATAACAGTGAAAACTAGAGAATAAGCATATTTTTAACATAGTTAATCTAATTTAAAACATACATTAAACTTTTTGTCATCTTCAATTTAACAATATCCATATGTGTTTCTCTTCTCTAGGTGAAAGCAGTGTATGATGGTTGGTTACATGTTGCTAGTGAATTAAATATTGGATCTAAACTTCCAGAGGTTTGTTAATCAAAAATATTTGCTTATTCTTGTGAGTGTGAATTTTTGTTTTTCATTTTGATTTCTAGATAAGAATTTTAGTATCTTTAGGAGCTTTATATATAGAAGATAACAGTTAAAATTGGTATGAAAAAGGATAATTTCTCATAGTAATATTTATTAATAGAAAATATTTTAAATTTCAATCTCAGTTCTTTGTTTAAAGAATTATTCTCTTGTAGGTTCAAGAATTGCAGGCTATTTACTCTCAGCTATATATTCAAAGTGGAGATGTTGATGAAAGTCTTTTTTTGGAAAGAGATTGGCATCTGTTGCCATCTGTGTCAGAACAAAAGTAGGTTTCATTTTCTTAAATTTTTTGTTCTTTCTGGCTTTGTTTAATGCTTTTACACATTTGATTTGAATATGAAAACTTTACTTTGTGTCATGCCCATCATACTAATAAATAATTGTATATAAAATTGTATGAATATTAAGTAAACAGATTACCATTACAGAGAAGATTAAAAGTAATCAAATGCTCTTCTCCAAATCAAAGTAACTCTTCAAAAAAATTATTTTGTTGAAGAGTTAGTTTGATTTGGAGAAGAGCATTTGATTACATTTAATCTTCTCTGTAATGGATGATGGATGTGATTAGATTTCCTGTAGTATAACAGTGTAACATATTATGATGTTTCAAATATCACCACTGTACAAATTCATTTTCTAAAGTTTGTTTCAAAAATGAATATCTAAAAATAAAAACCATTTAGTAATTAAATTTGTAATTTCAACAAATAATATGAGATGCTCTACAGTAAGCTGGTACAGTACAGTCTTTAATCTGACATTTGATAGTTTGTCATGTTCTATAATCTGGCACCTATCGAGATGTTCACTTTCAGTGTTTTCCCCATGGATTCAGTTACTTGTTGACTTTAACCACCTGGTCCCTGTGCAATGCTGCTTGCATTTTCACCTAATTTTAGCGTAACTAAGAGTTTTCATCTCAGTACAGTGTAAAATAAATCTACAGAACTCCAAAATTTGTAGATAATTCATAGTGATCTTTGAAGAAGTGATTTGCTTCATTAAAGCAATACTTTTTTAAATAGTAAAGCTCTTTCATGTGTATTTCTTTTTTCTTTGGAGGAGCTCTTCACAATTTGTTTTAACTGTCATTTTGCAATATACATTTTTCTTTAGTGCTGTGTTTTTTATTAATGTTGGAATATTCAGTTAATGTTCAATGTACGAATTTTGATTTTATATTTGCTAAGAGGACTAAATTCTTAGTCAGATATTTATATTTTCTACACAGGTTCATAATCTAAGTAAACACATATTTAGGTATGTTGTAATAGTTTAGATATCTTTGATATTCTTATTAAAACTATATTGATGCTCTCTATTATCCTGCAAAATTGCTCGACCATGATCCTGAATATGCCTGATTGAACTTTTATTGTATCATTATTATTATTCTATTACTTTTATTTATTTATTTTTTTTTTTTACTCATATTATAAACATTTGCAATCAGTTTTCTTTATTCGGGCATGTAACCATTTTTGTTTTTAATTTTTTAAATAAATACTATTGTTTTGTTAAAAAGGCTTTTTTTTAATTATTATTATTATTACTTCATGGTCCCTCCCCTAAAGTTTCATATTTCTGCAAAATATATTACATCTTTTAGTAGTGTATATTGTATTATCTGATAAATTTATATTTTTTAATACTATGAACTTAATTTTTTGACAAGAAAACAATAATTTATTGAATTAAATTTACATTTTAATTATGAAAATGTTTGTAATGATTGAAAATGAATTTTTATTGAAGCCACTCGCCAAGGAAGTATTCATCCACTTTAATAAGGAGAACTTTGGATACATCTGAAGCTCTTAACACCATATTGCTTTCTGCTCCAGACGGTTTAACTGAAAATCTTAAGTTTTGTTTGCAGGTAAGAATGCTTTTTTCCCTTTGTGACTACTTATCTTTATATTTTTATAAAAAAAACCTAGCTAAATATTTAGTTTTTATGTTTTAAAATTCTATTGAGAAAAATCAGTATTTTACAGGAAGTGAACAAATATTCAATGAAGAATTATTAAAATAATTATATTTATTATAATGTTATTTTGTTGCTTCAGCAAGTACAAAAAGATTCAATATTATAAAAATATGACAAACTTTTGTAATTGCTAGAGTAACACTAATTATATTTGGGAATCATCTGAAAGTTGACTTTGTTATTTATACTACAAGAATAATCCTTCTGCAAAAAAATATAGTTCTTCAGATATCTCAAGTTTATAGCATAAAAATCGTATTAAATATGATTAATATTAAACTATTTATTGGGAATTTAATTATTTTCCAATTCTTATTTTGTTTCTTTTTTTAATATCAAATTTTACATCATAATGCTAACAACCAGTAACATGCTTTTATAGCTATCTTTTACATTAGAATAAAAAAACCTAAGTGAAGTGGGAAAAAGATATTGCCCTGATACTAAATTTTCCCTTTCTTTACTTTTCTTTGCTCGCAGAATCCTCGAATTTGTTCAACTTTTTGTAAATTTGCCAATTTTGTGGTTTTGAATGTACTAAGCAAATATGAATTTCAACTTTTTAAAAAGAAAAAAATACTGCAAAAGTTATTGAATTAAATGTTTTCCAAAAATTTAAACAGGAGCAGTTAAAAAATATTTCTTTGTATCAAGTTTAATTGGTATTTCTGTAGCTTGTTGTTTCAAGTGTCCATTTTATCTCAATAAAAAAAGTTCATAGGTTTTCTGTATTTAGTATTATTTACTTTAAATCAAAGTAAAATATGTTTGTTACTTTTGAATTTTTGGTGCATAGAAGGTATTTTTTATGATGTTTTTTTACTTAAAATATAGATTATTACAATTTTTATGGAAAAAAATAAACAAATAATAATTTGTAAATCTTTGGCAGAATGTTTGAAAGATGTAGTGTACTTTAAATATCTAGTATATAATTTTAAGTATTCTAATTACAGTACATTTTTTACTTTTTGCAGAAATGTTCCGTCGATGCTTCTAATGTCATCCAAGATTTTTTAAATCAATCCAAAGCTATATTTATCAAAGAATTTGTAAAGGTTCATGAGGGTGGTGACAGGAATTTAGCAGAGAGGAGATATCAACTGGCTTCTAGGTTTTATTATCTTATGTTAGATGCACTCTTAAAAAAAGTAATTCCATCATCTTTGTCTTCAGTCAAAGGAATTGTTATTTCTAAATAATATCCTGATGTTATGTTGAATGTATTATAAATATTTTACAGAATCGATTTTTACCTAAATTTAATTCATTTTAATTTTCATTGAATATTATAAATTTCAGCTTTTAAATATTCCAGCCAATTATGCCTGATTTGACATGTGCAAGTGGAAAAAAATTATGGTTTAACCACCAATTGCATGGAAAATTGGCAAGAGGCTAAGTCGGATGGATTAAAAAAGAGTGCTGCCGTAGGGGAAGAGACGTCATTTAGTAGGAATTTTAATTGCAGCAAAAAGAATGTTAATTTTTAATGATTAAAATTTTAGATGACACAATATTAAGGAAAAACTAGCTGGAAAAATTCTGTACTCAATATTATCCTTTTTTCTTTCAAGGCAGCTTTGTTTCACCTGCACCTAACAAGTCATTGATTTGTCCATTAAACTGGATATTTACCATTCCATGCTATCTGTGGTTGGACTACACTTTTCTTATAATAGAAAGGGAATTCAAATGTTTCACCTTCATAGTTGTTTCCAGTGGTCATTCATTTATCTGAAACACAGTTCTAATTACTTTCTTTTATTAAAGAAATACTCCATATTAGCATTTGTATAAAGCTGATTATACATATCTCACAATCATTTCAAATCTTTTGAATGCCTATTCATAATTTTTATATTTTTGATAATTTTCAGTTTCCTTATTTTTAATAATGAATGAAAAGTATTGTTTAGATATGAATGATCAAAAAGATATTGAAATTCTATATACCATTTTATTTAGCAATAAGACAAAGCTAGAGTAAAGTGACCAAGGCAATCAAGATGTATTAGAGTTGAAGAGCATTTTGATAGCAAAATATATCACAGTATAATTCAGAAGATACAGTTAATATTTTTTATGTAAATAGAGATGATGTTATAAAAGGAGGAAAAATCATTCGATAGAAAAAAATGTAAAAGCTAGATTAAAGAATAATATAACATTAACTGGAATAATTGTTAATAGAAAAAGAACTGAAAAGTTATATACAACTCTTGGGACTTCATTAGCTACTGAAGTATGAAAAATCATTATAAATTGCTTTAATATTATTTTATTTATTTATTAACAGTTTTAAGATAGAAAGTTTGACATGCTTTACAGATCTTATTGAGATTTGAGATAAAATCATCCACCAGTTCACTTTTTGTAACAGATCTTGTGGAAAGTAATCTGAGGGAAGGTAGTGATGTAATGTCTAACTATATTGAAAGTAAAATCTTGAATTATGTCTTGTTCAATTTAAAAGTTCTATCTTAATCACTCGTTAGATCACCGAAGTTAAGCATCATTGGGCGTGGTCAGTACTTGGGTGGGTGACCACCTGGGAACACTGCGTGCCGTTGGCAAATTTGGGACCTGAATGGCCGAGTGTCTGGCGCCCGGTGCCACAGGTTTCGGGTTCGAATCCCGGCGGTGCCATGGATGTTTGTAGTGGTTCGGAATCCACTTTAAGCCGTAGGTCCCGGTCTTCTATGACTGTAAGAGCGTCACGGAGCAAAAGTCAGGCTTCTACCTACGGGTGCTCCATCACAACAGAAGCTGCTTCCTTCCCCTTCAATCATGAGTCCATATGGGCTCGTGGGCTTGGCCAGCCAAGTGGGATAAGAAACAACAAACAACAACAATATCTTAATCAATGTGATCAAAGAACTAAATGCAGTCTGTCCATTGGCAATGGTGTAACTTTTGAAATACATTGAATGGGGTGTTAAACATGCTTAACTCTCTCTGTTAAATCCCTAAATATTATGTTACTTACTAAATACAGCTCACTTTTTTTTTAGAATAATTAATGTTGGTTAAAAAAAAATGAAACTTGTATTTATATTAATAGATTTTGCTTATAAATTACAAAATTGTCAATTAGTGTAATAATTTTTTTCATTAACTGTAGGAAGCTGAACGTTTAACTGCTCCTGCATTTACCTCTTTTATACAAAATATTGTTTTCCACAAGTCTTTGTTAGCTTGCTGTTTGGAAGTCACTCTAATGTCTTGTGGCTCGATAGGCAAGTATAAAGCTTTTTGTAATATATTTCATTAAACTTGATTATTTTTGTGTATGTGTGTATTTATTTATTTTGTGTGTGTGTGTATTTATTTATTAAAAGTAAGATATGGTGCATAAGAAAGGCATAACAATTTGGTTCTTTTATTTTTTTTATATTTAAAATCTGTAGTCTCAAAAATTATTCTTTTATTATTAATATTTTTTTTCTATCGAGTGTTAAAAATGTGGGGAAAAATTTTTACTGTAATTCAAAGATGTGCGACTAACTTTTAGTACTTAAAAACACTTTTAAGATTTAATCACATTTACTTTTTCATTAAAATTTGCAGTCCATTATTTCTGTATTTATTTGTTTGTAAGTGTTAATATATTTACCTATATCCAATATTTTATATCAATGCAGAACCCTATTCAAGATACTTCACTATTTTGATTTGGTTGGAGGAGTTTTAATTATAATAATAATATCTATTTTCTGTTGTAGGTCCTGTGAATTTTACTCCCATTTCTCATGGAAATAACTTTCAAGCACAAGGAGTCGTGTTTCCCTGGGTTTTGAGAGTGTTTGGCTTGGAAGCGTTTGACTTCTTTAAAATTATTGAAAGTTTTATTAGGGGAGCTCCCACCATCACCATGCAAATTATCAATGTAAAATTTTACTGCATTCTTTGTCTGATTTGTTTTGTTACAACTTCATTTGTTTTCATTTGAAACTGAACTCAGTCTAATATACATATATTTATCATATACCTTATTTAATTTTAGCATTTAAAGTTTATAGAAGATAAGATTCTGGGTTCTTTAGCCTGGACAAGTGTAAGTTTTCACGTTTTGCAATTATAATGATTTTGTTTGATTTTTATATGTTACACAGTTTTGTTTTCCTTTTGTGGTAACACAACTGTTTCTTACAGGGCTCTCCTGTATTCGGAGGCTTATCGGGAAGTGGTTGTTCTCCTTGTTGCAAAGCCAAATATTCTTCACCAAAACCTTCTGAAAGGTAGCGCTTAAGGAACATGGGGAATATTTTTAACTTTAAGATGTTTGTTTTTATTATTTCATTCTTGTTTCTTTTCTTTTTATTTATATTTTAGTAGTTATTGGTCTCCCAACAAAGATCCTTCTCAAATAAATCCTTCAACTCCTCATGCTTGCCATGCAGTCAGTTTGTTCCTCAATAAAGGTTTGTATTTTCAGTTACCTTAATTACAGTTATTTAATAATATATTGAGTATGTAGAAATTTTTCTTGATTAATTAATTGTTTTTAAAAAATATTTGGTTGACTGTATAAGCCCATAATATAGGATGGATTATAAATAAACAAAAATGCCTTTAAACTTAACTTACAAAATGATAAATTTTTAAGTTACAACTTTCATTTGTTTAATTCATATATTTTCTCTCTATATTGAAAATGTCATTGTTGGTAAATGATTTTTTTTTCTTTATGTAGAATATATTTTATAAAATATTCATATGTTTTGCACTCTATCTTCCTGTACTGGGTATCGGTCATTCAACTTGAGATTGCAAAAATTTGAAATGACTCTCAATTTTAAATTATTGAGGTTATTGCAATAAATTTATCAATGAAAAGAGTGTACTATATATTTTTTTTCCTTTGAATCTAAGGAAAAAAAATTACTCTTTGTCACAATGAGTTGGAATAATTTTAGCCATTTTATGAAGTTTCAATTTCCCCCCCCTTGATTTTTCAGATGATTAAAAAAAAATATGAATCTTTTAAAACTCCTGAAGAACTCATAATGCCTTTGATGAAATTAGGTTTGTGAACAGCTTCATCTGAATCTATTCATTTAACTCTTTATGAAATTAAAATAATTTCTTCTGATGGGAGGGATTGAATGCTTATTATTAGCATTAATGCTGTCTTATATATACTGTTTAATTTAAAGTATTTAAATTAATTAAACTATGTTTAAGTGTGCACTATTCTAATTTTGTGTAAAAAATTTTATTTCTGTATCTAATACAAAAATCTAATGAACTTTAATAATATAACATTTGTGGTTCAGCAATAAAAAGGACTTAAATGATGATGAGCATTGATTTAAATAATTTTCTGATTGAAGATTATTTTATTTGAATAAAAACAAAGTAGATTATTTTATTTGAATAAAAATAAGATTAATATTTGTAAGTTTAAGTAATTGATTTTTATTTCTGGTTATTTTAGTATGTCGACTAGCATATCAACAATTGGAAAAAATGTGTGCTCGACTGCACATTGAAAAAGAATTAGTAAGTTGCATGAAAATTAACTTTAGATCTCATTTAAATTAATAAGTTTATCGTCATTAATATATATATTTTTTTTTTAATTAGCAAGCAGAAATATGGATATCCATCGAACATGTATTGTATAGAAAGAATCATTTACTTCAAGATAGACATTTGGATCAGGTAATAATTTCTTTAAAAAGTTGTTTTCCCAAAATAAAATTTATCAATAAATGTTTAGTATTGTTGCATTCTTAATTTTAAAAAAATTAACTTTTTTTAATTAGATATTTTTAGTATCTGTTTTCTTTGAAGTCTAAAGTTTTTCTTTTTATTATTCACATTTATTCTGATTATATTTTATTTGCATTTGAAGTGTTATTAATTATAACAAAATATTTAAAGGGCCTAATTTTTTTTATTAAATAGAATGGCATAATGCTATCTTCAATTATGTTGGGAATGTTTTTATATCCATTGTTTTGTTTTAGATCATAATGTGTTGTATTTTTGCTGTATGCAAAGCCAAAGACCATGAAGTTCGTTTTAAAACCATCCTTTCCTGTTACGATCAACTTCCTTATGCATCAGTTTCGGTAAGTTATAGAAATTATTCATTTTTCTTTTAAAAAGAAAAAAAAAAGGCTTAAATAGTTAAAATTTTATAACTATGCTAAAACTAGACTCTCCTCCTCCCGAAAAAAGAAATAAATTAAAAGATTGCTTTAAATTTAAATTAAAAATTTTTTATAATAACCATTGGATTATGTACTGATTTTGAACTTGTGTAGACAATGTAAATATCCAATTATAAATTATTATTGGATATTTATATTATTATCTAGCAATTATAAAATCAAAATTCTTATGTTAGTTTAAATGTTATTTGTATTGATAAAAAAGGGCACAAATGGAAAATGATTACTGTAAAATAATAGTTAAAATAAATTGTGACATGCTATTCTATGGCAAGGGCAGATACATATGAACCTGTCTTGCTGTTTTAAAAAAATATCTGAAATCACATTGCTCTTGTGATTCAAATCTCTTCTTCAAAATGAAAATTTTAGTGACTATAACTACTGAGCGAAAATCGCATGTGTTAGCTGTGTCACGACTCCAGGATCAAACTCAACTACCGAATCCACACTAAAAAAAGTGTGAAGACTCAATTGTTACTGTACTATAAAAGAGGCAAAACCATCTAATGCCTGATTAAAGAGCACTTACTGTATTAAAAATTAGCATCCACAATACCATCTCAATAAGTTTCCATTTGCTCCATGGATCCATTTGATTCCATTTCCACCTTGCATCCTTGAACAGTTGTCAATTAAACTTGAGTCATAATATGACTTAATATCCTTGTAAACACCTTCCAGCACCTCATTGAGGTTCTCTCAGCCCTTCTAGTTGCTGTACATAGTGATGATATTAACAAGGGGTCACATTAACTCAACTCTTAACATTGAATGACTTATAATTCTTCTCCTTACACTCAGCGGCTTGATGACCGCTTGCTTGGCACTTTGTCCTTTGGTACCATAGGATTCAGGTTTTGATCCTGGTGGGGGCAGGGATCTTTGTTAGTGGTTCAGAATATACTTTAAACTGTAGTTCCTGGTCTAGCTAGCCTAAAGTGTGCAAGAAATGACTGTAGAGTGACAAATCCAACCAATTCTTATACTGTGTAATATATATATTCCTAAAAATTTATGAATGTATGAAATGTAATGCTTCTTTTTTTCTCTCTTTCTATTTATTGTAATAGGTTTACAAACAGGTTTTGACAGGAGGTAGAAAAGATTTTATTATTAAATTTTACAATATGGAATTTTATTCAGAGATGAAATCTTTTGTCCTTAGTCGTTGTGGAAACAAAAGTGATGTAAGATTTTTTGTTTTTTTCCCCTAACATTTAGATTATCATGAAAAAATAAATTGTAGTAAAGAATAATATTTTAAGATTTAGCTGTATCACTTATACCTTTATATAATCTAATAATTAAGATGACTATCATATATTTATTTATGTTGTTTTCTAAATATTTAGTTGGAAAATTAATTTAGCATATATATATTTTATTT